ATATTGATACTAAAATAAAAAAACGAAATAGTCATATATCAGTTGTTAAATATATATATACATTGGAGAGAGCGGCATGGGCAGGCCACGTTTCACGATCAGTGTCAGTGCGGGGATTTACGTGACCGCGCGGTCGCTCGCCTGCAGGCACCACGCGCCCCGTCTCCCTCGCGCGCATTCCCTGCAGGCTGCAGGAGGGTCCCGACTATCCACACAGATGGGGGGCGAGCTCCAATTAATGCGGCGTGAATGAATACACAAGCTGAAGAGCGTCCACTGTGGTTTGGTGCCATTCTATTTTATTCTTGCGGATGACGGCAACATGTTCAGGAGCTAATGCCAATGTCGAGGTCTGCTAGCCACGACGAGAGTGCTTGGGGAGAGAGTGGCGTGTTGCCATTCCACCTCCGTTGTCGGAGCGAAGACTGCAGTGGCTCGAAGCCATGGCTGCTTTTCTGAGCCTATCTCTGCAGACTTCTCGAGTGTTATCTCCTCTCACAGGTGGGGTTTCTGCACGTGTTCTGGTTTCCTCCTGTATGCAAATACTCCTGTATGGAAAGCGGCCAACATCACAATGCAGAACCCTCGTCAAAATTCGCGAGGCTCAAGGGCTTTGCGGTATAAATAGTTGGCATCTTGTTTAGGATATTCGAGCTTTCTGCTTTAATGCCCATTAATAAGGATCGTGAGGGGGCATAATCTGACTATCTCAGAAACTTACCATACAATCAATGATGCATTATGGTTATCTCAAGTTCTCAGAACATGTTTTGGTCTTTACAAAGTGTTGTTTGGCTTCAGACGCGCTCTGCTCCCTTGACGCAGGTGTCTCAAGGATGATGCTGCTGCTGTGTGGAAAGTGGCGGAGCTCAGTGTCGGCTTTCTGGTCACGCGATCAAATCGTTTAACGAAATGTCATCGCCACTTGCCTCGGGTGTTTTTTTTCTCCTCTCTCAGATGAGGCCCTCACTTTTGGACGAAATATATTTAACAATCGCAAGAAGAAACAACCCCTGGAGCACTTTGTAATGAAAGCACAATTTCCCCAACTAATCAACAGTGTTGTTGATTACATTTGCATAATTTCTTCCCCTAATGGTCTGCTCCCTGCCGCGTTGGCAGCACAGCGTCCAGACTGCTGCAGCTGCGCGGTTTGCTCCTCGCTGATTTTGTTTTCAGTCCGCGTGGCACGGGAGGCAGCGGCTGCAGATGAATGAACGCGAATGTTCTAAGGACATTTTGAACTGCCTCGTTGAGCCTCAGGCCCTCGACTTGAAACTAAGAACTTTCAGAGATCATGTGTTGTGCCACGCGACATGAACACGTACCGCTATTTCAATGTACTACGTGAATGCCTAATGCAGAAGTATCACATGTATACTGTTCAACATTATTTGAGAAAATCATTGTTAAGGATAATGATTTGTTTTAATACAGTGCCTTCATTTGATAAGTCCTCGGCACAGACTGGTAAAGATGTAGCTCATCGGATCAATCTCACACACCCCTATTTCCATGGATCTCAAAGGGGTACTGATATCCAGGACCTCGGATATCAAGGCTTTATTTCTGAAATCCTATAAGGACTTAAATAAAATCGATCCCCCTTTGGGTACAATCTACTGGCCATCTGCAAAAAAGAGCAACATAGCTCATCGGATTCCTCGAGTCTAACGAAAGATTCTTCTTAATTGAGGATTGCCTTTCAAACCGTCATGTGACAAAAGGTACAGATACATTATCTCAGCTTTCTTTGCCGGCGATGCATTGGTGTGGATGGATAGGTTGTCACCCTTATGGAAAATGCCTGGTCCCGAAAAATAAATTCAACACATTTGTCCAAAACACTTTGAAAGGAAAATTATATAATATAAAATTATATAATATACATTATATAAATAAGAATATGTAACGGACGTTTTAGGCACTGACCCTTCTTGACAGCAAATAGAGAGACGAGAGAGAAAAAAACAGTCTCGGCAAACCTCCACTGGCCTGTACCACGCAAGAGCCAACTCACCCAGAATGCACCCAACCTCATCCCATTTCAGAATCTCAGCAGAATTGAGCCTGGGTAGTGCGTTGATGTGTAACTACCATTCATAAAAGAGAGGGCATAGGGCATGTATGACTGCGTGGTGGCCAGTAGAGAGGGTGCAGCAACACCCGTTGCTCGACTCTACTTCTATGTTGCGACGTCTATGCTCTCCACCTGCAACTCGCACTGAGACCCAGCATGGTGAAGTCACGTGAAATATCCCAGACAACCCGGCCCTCGTCCAGCAGTGAATTGACAAAATGGCTGTACACATATACAGTAAATTATATATGAGTAATTTAAGGAGGTTGGGAAAAGTGCTTCCAGACAAACAAGATGTATTTTTCTATCAATCAATTTGGAGTTTTAATATTTACTGCAAGTATGAATATACACATTTCAGTTTAAATCCAACGAAATGTTGAGGCTGCAGTCCGAAGCGAAGATGCACGCACGGCATTTTATCGGTGTCATGGGTGTCTGCTTTATTGCTGAGTTATTGCCGTTAATGAAGGTCACACTTTTTGTTCTGCATGAGGGACAGTAATTCTCTCTTAACAATGTCAACACTGATTTGAAGAACGTTCTCAGCCTTGAGAGAAACCACAGCAAAATACTTCAAAATAAGAACTTGGTAATCAATGGAGACAAATGACTAAAACGTTATTTAATTAAATGTAATTACAAATGATATATCGAAGCCATACAGTAAGTTTCGCTGTAATAATTGATGAGAATAGCATATTATTTTGTGAAAGTAAAAATGTCATTGAAGTCTCAAATTCACTCATTTTATATTTCAGACAACTTAATTAATGGCCAGTTGAGAACCCAATAAGATAAACGTATTTTGTGAATGATTCCCTGGGGTTTGATACAAGAATAAAATGTGTACACTAACAAAAATTAGGTAGAAAACCAACACATATCAAACAACGATTAAAAGGAAATAACGTAGAATGAAGTGCAAAACACACTAAAACATTGTCCAGCTATATGCATGTTTTTTTTTTAAACATAATCTAAATGCGAGTAATTTCCAGAACCTTGCATGTGTATGATCGCTTTAAGAGTTGTCTCCGACTTGCTTTGGCGACGTCACGAGTGGCACGCGCCCGCACGGAGCCGCCACGGCAGCAGCTGCCTGCACTCACTCGAGTCCCGACTGCGTGCGGCAGGCGCGGCTGGAGCTATTCCGAAGGATATGTCCCTCACACATGGGAAATGAAAGAGTGGCTCTATTGTGAATGTGGCGAAGTGCAATCTGTTCGTCGTGTAACCGAAGGAGGCATGGACGCTAAACGTCAAACCACTGCTGATGCCATCGAAAGGATTGCCAGACGAAGCACACCGTTATCATGTTGTCTGTCGCTTTTCAAACGCTGCACGGGCGAAAGAGAGATGTCCCGGGGCTCGGCACGTCCCAGGGAACTCTTCACGAGGGGAGCTGCAGTGGCTCAGTGCTTGGGAGAAGGGTCTGCACCGGCAAACGGCCGCCTGGTCGTGATGGGTTCCTGGCAGTAGGGGTGAGAGGGCAATCCGCACAAAACAGCCGGATTTTCTGTACGAAGAAGCCCAATCCACCACTCTCGTCGGCGAATTTGGTTGGAAACATTTTTCCGATCGGTGCTAAGCGTGAGATGGCTCTTGGTGGATGATGGCCGGTGAACGGCGGCACCGCTTCCACGGTGTCACCTTGACGTGCACGGCCACTGGATTTTCAATTAGTGGCTCTGCTTAGTAGTTTACATGTTGGACATTTTAAAATATTTAAATTCCAACTATCTTGTTTAAATTTCATAAACACCCTGACGACGCAGTCTCTATGTTTAGCCTGAGTGTCCCTCAGGGGACGCCACGCTTCACGAAGTGGGCTAGAATCAATGATAACAGCATATTCTAGATACGCTGTGTAACATTGGAGCTACGTTAATGTCATACTGTGCGATAAGCAATTCATGGTCTATTATGCTTCACTGAAATTTTGATGCGCATGACAGAACCTGTACATCAGCACATAAGGCAAAGAGCTGGGACAGTGGCCTGTGCCTTTCAGTGTTAGAAAATGGTTATTTAATAGCGACGGATGGAAAGCATTGGGTTTCAATTGTAGACGGCAGTCGCTCATGTGGCACTTAATCTCCTCATAGGGTTACTAAAATAATTGTAGTGACATTGAAATAAATCATTAATGCATTCGTGGAAGATTTTCATTTAGCGAGGGTAAATGTCTTGTTTTTTTAAACAGAAGAATTCTTCATTGTGTTATAATTGAGGTTAAGATTTGCTCTTCTATATGTTTCACTCGGTGACGAGGAGGCCAACACCGGGCATCCTTATGAGACTGGAACCCACCATGGAAATGTGTAAATTCCACGACGAGCAACGGGGAAATCAAAGATGAGCGCTGCCCCGTTGCGCGTTTGCGAGGGAGACGCTTGACGCGTGTGATTGATGTCATTAGTGATGTTCATAGTCCGCCTTATTTGGATTGGCAATTGCAATCATCTTCTATTGACACAACATCCTCGCGTGTCAGCCATTGTCTGTTCCCAGCGTTCTAATTGGCTGGAGCGCACGTGCCGGCCAAAGTGCGGGGGCTGAGGGGGGGGGGCTCGGAGAGGAGGGGGGGGCACCTAGGGGTGGGGAGGGGGGGCGCAGTCGTTGCTAAGCGACGGGTACTGCCACTCGTAACAATGTCTAGTATTAACTTCTGCCCTGTTTATATTACAACGTTATTACCTGTGAGAGTAATAATACCAATTCTGCAATGGCTTTCACTAATAACATAAGCTTGAGTATGCAAACACTGCTTACACTGCGTCTAAAACATTTTAAAACTCGATACAAGACAACGCAATTTTCAAAGACAACATTTTTAACAACTTTAAGCAAGTTTAGTTTATTAACCGCATCAAAACCAACACACAGTGAACGCGTTCAAACAGTGAACAACCTCCTTTAAATAATACTATTTTGCCATTTCAGCAAACGGGGTAGGTGTATAAACCTCTGCTACCATTCCATGGCAATGTTTGCTGTCAAAAGGCAAACACCAACAATGCGCTCTCCATGCTGTTCTCAGGGCTGGGGATCTCGTGTCGTTAAACAACGCCGCATCTTGCGTTTTAGATCGCACTGCTGCAGTCAGGCCACAGGCATGTGTTGTAGACTTCTTAGTGTTACTGCGATCGCCTTCTCCCACTCGTTGCGTTGCATCTATCACCGAGACGATAATTGTGCCGTTAGCGTCCAAGCAGCGGCAAACTCCGTTGATGAACGATCCAGAGGAGACATCGGTCTTTGCGCGGTATCCCTCTCTCAGGCCTATCTCACGGACTCTGAACCTGTGCTTTTATCTCTGCAAGGCCCTCCTATGTGGGAATGGATAAATTCTGTGAAACATCTAATTTACGTTATGGGTTTTTGTACGGTGCTTGACGACCGGGCTGAGACCATTACCTTGCCACGTGTGAGGACCTGGTTTTATTGCGGGCGGCTGTCGGGAATTGAACTCAGGATCTCTGGGGCGTTCGCTCTGCCACGGAGATCGCCCCCCCGAGCGACCCAGCCACCTCGCAGCTCGGCAGTTCTCGCCATCTCTGAGATGAATGCAGCTTCCTGACCGTAACAAATATTCTACATGAACATCTGGGAGGCCTGGTTATGAGTGCTCAGGCATTGTTAGTGTGACAATGTGACATGTAATTAAATATACAGTTGTGTGCGGTACTTCCAAGTGTTACGATCACGTGGAGAGTCACGGGAGATGACCTACCGGCGATCCACAAGTCCCACATACTTACAAAACACGTTTGCAATTCAGTTCCATAAGGTTCAATTGTAAAACGTCGGACAGAAAAAAACAAATAGTTCTTAAATGCATATTCAAATACAATATATACGGACATGTCTTATTCCAAACAAAACAGTCTACATGTACTCGAAAGAAATGTAGGTAATGTTTAAAGTTCATTCAAATCAGAAACTGCAATTGCATTTCGTAATTTTCAATGACAGCCCCTTTCGAGGCCTCCCTATACCATCCTCATGCTGATCTGTCTGGGGTGTGGCGCCTGAGCGCCCGAGTCGGTGCTCTCGGTGCGCCGGGAGGTGTACTCGACGTGGACGCTGGGTTTGTGTCTGCCCCTTCCTCTGCTCCAAAGAAACAGAATGAACAAGCAGAGCACCACGACGCCCAGAAACGTGAAGCAGCCGATGGCTATGGCCACTAGGATGGTTTTGACGTCGTAGAGCTGCTGGTCCCTTGCCCGAGTGGCGTTAGAGCCGGTGCCGTTCATCCCGTTGCCGACGGACGCGAGGGTGTCGTTGTTGTACAAAGACTGTGGAGAAAAGCTCTTGACGTCGAGGATGCCCGTGTTGGTGTCGTTGCCCGCGGCGTTGCTGGCTATGCACACGTAAGTGCCGCTGTCCAGGATCTGCGCGTAGCGAATTTGCAACGTGCCGTCTGGCAGCACGGCCATGCGGCCGTTCGACTGAGCCGTGATCTTTTGCTTCCATGGCGAGACCCACATGATGGAGGGCTGGGGGTCCCCCTCTGCCTGGCACGGCAGCAGCACCGTCTGGCTCTCGGCTGTGGCGACCTGCTGGGGCTTCTGCACCGTGATCCAGGGCTTCTTGCACGAGAAGTAATATGGTGACATCTCCTCGGGGAAGTCTCCGAACGCCATGCCCTTGACGTGCTCGGGAGATTCGCACGACGGCTGCCGCTCGCCCAGGGCCAAGCGTCTCCGCCTGCGCACGACCCACAGCAGGCGACAGTCGCACGCCAGGGGGTTCGAGTCCAAGCCGAGGACCTGCAGACTGCTCGTCGACTGGAAAGCACTCTCCTCCAGGGTCTGCAGCAGGTTTTTTGACACGTTTAAAACTCTTAATTTGCTGAGGCCCATAAAGGCCTGGGGCTTGATTGTGGTAAGCCTCGACACAGCCACATGCAATTCCTGAAGTCGAATTAAATTCTGAAAGGCACCAGCTTCTACTACTCTGATTTGATTGTACGATAGGTTTAGTAGCCTGAGATTAACCAGAGGCTGCAATGCTGATTGTGGGACGGCGGTGATATTTGTAAAGGTAATTGATAGCGCCGTTAAGTTCAGTGCATATAGACTGTTCATAGGAAGCTCCTCGAGCATTGGCCAGTGGCTGAGTTCAAGCACCTTCAGTCGGAGGAGCCGCCTGAATGAGAAGGGCAAGATGCTCGCGATGTTGAGGTGGCGTAGCCTGAGCGTGGACAGGCTGCCCAGGTGAGACAGGGCCTCCGTGGGGAGACTCGTTAGGTTGCACTTTTCCAAAGTGAGCTGCTCCAGGCTGTGGAGCCCCTTGAAGGCGTGGTGAGAGACGTACACCAGGTCGTTGTCTCCTACCTCCAGCCGCTTAAGATTGCGCAGATCCTGGAACATGTAATCCAGCAGGATGACGATCTTGTTTTCACTGATGTCTAAGTGCGTCAGGTTGGTGAGCCTGGAGAACACGCCGCGAGGAATGAGCTTCAGGCGGTTATTCCTCAGGCTTAAAGAGCGGAGGAAGGGCAGGTTGTTGAAGGCTCCTGGCTCGATATTTGAGATCACATTTTCATTCACCTCCAGCTCCTCCAGCAGCAGAAAGTTCGAGAAGTCGTCAGGGTCCAGGGAACGTAGCCGGTTTTTGCTGAGGTCCAGCGATTTGGTTTCTATGGGAATGCCTTCCGGGATGGCCGCCATCCTCCGCCGGTGGCACACCACGGACTTCTGAAGCGCGGTGCACTCGCAGCGCGCCGGGCAACCCATGGCGTGACTTTCCAGGGAAGGCAGGATGATGACGAAGACCGCCAGGAGCGCCTGAGAACAGCCCAGGGGCTTGCGAAGCGCCCTTCTTTTGCGTCCGAGCATTTCAGTCTGAACCTGCCAATGAAATTTAAAGAAGATATAGTCAAATAATGTGCTGTCACCCAAGGGGGAAATCATGCCTCATTTGCACCCTGCAGTCTAACACCAGCAACGAGCGTAACAACCACATTTGCAAAGCAACGTGCACGTCAAATAGCACAGGGTCACACAAGAAGTAATTACTATTATTCCAATTGGTTAATTGTGTTGTGTTAAGGAACCCACAGTGTTCACCCAGCATGAACAGTTACAACTCTGTGTTTGTTCAGGGACTTAGACAACCTTTAAGCATATGTATTATTTCGTATTCAGTGAAAGGGCATGTGTCAGACCAGGTAACACAATGATTACAACTTTATTATTTTGGCAGATTGGTATGGTACATTTCATATATTACCCGCTATGGATAAAAAATATGGTCATTGACATACAACATGGAACAAAAGCTGAAATGTGAGATTCTGATATTCCCAGTGAGGAATCATCAGCACGTAATAGCAATGCAATTGTTGCTGGATTGTGCCTAGGATGGGTTTCTGCACACAGACTATTTTAGATGCCATTCCTTATCCTTTGTCCCATAATTGAAAGATATTCGTGAAAATATGTAGACATGTCTGCCACAGCACACTGTATGTACTGTGTACGCCTTGTACAATTGATTTCATGTTGCCCTCTTTTTAGCTGATGGATTCATTTGGATTGGCTGGGAGAGAGATGTTATTTCTCGTCCTTATTTTGGCGCGTTCTAACTTAACTGTGAGTGACACGCTGGTAGCGTTCCTAAACATAAGTATGACATATTTGAGAAAATTCTGCATATTTTGCCAAAGCAATTGCCATGGATATGTTGGAAAAGGCATTGAATAAGCTGCAACTGATTACGGAGAGGTTATAAAGATCACTTGCTTTCTGTCCGTATGTTTAACTTCTTGTGCACCGTATGTAGCTAACTGTGCTAATTGGAGGTGCGGATTTTCTCCACGATAAGGGTGACAATTATCGCTCCTCACTGTCTTTAAAAAATAAAATAGTAAATTGTGACTGCTATTTTTGTCTTCAAATTTTCCTAAAACATTGTGCAGAATTCGTCAGAGGTGTGTTATTGCTTGAGAAATGAATGTGATCATTCTCACATTTTAATTGGATCTGTTGCATGTCTGAATATAAATTGATTTCATAAATCCTTCAAGTAATCCGTCAGTGAGCATCATTCCAGAAAACGCAATTGCTTCCCGAGGGCATCCTGTGTCATATGGTTCATGCTTGGTGTCAAATGTCTCTGATGCCTCTCCACACCCGTACGCATTTCTCTGGTTTACTTTCCTCCACCCTCGATATACATTTCTGTGATATCTCTCTTCTCGCACGCTATAAATGTTTTTTTGAGTGAGAATGTTTCGCAACATCTAATCATTTTCATCGCCACAGTGCTTCTCGTGAGATGGTGTACACTCTGGTCAATGGCTTTTAATAGAAGACTCTTACAAAGAACGATACGTCCTATTTAATATTTGTACTGTTTTTGCTAGGTGATATCTACGTTTTTAGCGGTAGCCTTTTAAAGCCTGCATGATATTATCCACGGGCCGCATTGTTAAACTCCGTTCGCCGTTTGCTGTTATTCCATCAACTGTTGTCTATATCTGCTGCAGCCCTTTCTTTATTGTGTTTTCCCTCACAGTAATAGATCAGGACATGCAGGCTCTTTAGCTGTAGGCCAGACAGGCCATAAACACCTCGGGGACATTGACCCAGTCTCGGAAATGGAAAAGCAAAACCCCAGTGTGCTACATGCAAAGCTGGGCAGCAACCGCCACTTTCATTGTTGCAACGCCTGCTCGTTTATTGCTGGGAAAAAAAACAGTCTGTGGATGATTTGTTTTGTTACCGTAATTGTGCTGACAGTTCTCACACCGTGGAAAAATGAAGAGCTGTAGTCTTATTTTATATAATCCGATGTATGTATCTTTCCAGCAAGTCGAACGTGCACGGTCAATTTGTAACAGCGGAAACATGTTTTTATCATCAGTTTAAGAACATATTTTACACAAAACAACCACACACAGTGGCTGAAACAGAGCAGCAAAAGCTTCCCAAAGCGAGGGTTTGTTTATTCCAGTTGACCTTAGAGTCTTCCTACACACGTTATCCATCTTGACTGATCCGGATCTATTATCATAATTTGGTATTCGTGCCATTCTTATAGCTCAGGGCTATGGGGAAGGTGCTGCTGTGGTTCACAGACACGGTTTGCGGGAGTTTCACAGCAGGGAGCGATGTATAATTCAGATAATTTTTGACAATTTGGCAAATTTAGACCGTGATGCCACCACACAATGGCCTACTCGTTTCAAATGCAGTCTAGAGATCTTTAACATCCATTGTGAAGCAGAGAGTGTGCATTTCACGGTTAATATTCCCGCAGGGATAACGAGGGCGGCCTGTAAAATTCGAACCTCTGCAACAAGCAGTGAACGCCCTGCCACAGGGCCTTGTCACCACCACACCAAGGGATGCTCTTTAGCATATGGAGTGCCACCCACACACAGTGTGTCACTAGAATGGCACCAGTGCTTGTAGGAGTCTCAGTATTTGGCACATCGACCCCACATAACGTCCACATGCATGCAGTTATTTACAGAATATGTTTCAAAGGGAGGCAAGGGCATCCCAAGTAGCACGGTTGACTACGTACGTTGCGAAGGAAGTGCAACATACATACATCCCCTCACTAAATCTAAAAAGTGAATGTTGCTGCATTGGAGACACGTGATCTGAAGCATCACACAACCGATCCAGGGACAGTCTGAGAGTTTGCAGCAAACACAAAGTTCTCTCTGATCCCAGCCACATGCTCTGCACGGCGCCTGAAGTTGTGCCACATCTTGGATGCCGTGTTCATCAGGGCATGAATAGCAAAAACTCAACGCGTTCATCAAGAGCACTGTTTTAACAGACAACAACATTCTAAGAGACAACGTTTGGGCTAACGGCCCTTCTTCACCACATTTCAAGGACCATTGAAGAAGGACCATTACCTGAAACGTCACATATTATACATTTAGTTTTTTTCCTTGTGAGGCCAGTGTTATGAACGAATATGTTGCGTTTTCTTTATTTTTCCTTGTGCACCACTGGCCAGTATCACCAAATAATTGTGTTAGTTTATCAGGGCACTTGTGACACCGAGCACAGCGTTCATAGTCTCGCACCCCTCAGATGGTGAGTATGGAACGTCACACACATTGTCGTGCCTGATGCTCCACACACACTGAATATCGATCCATTTTAACACAAGGAACACATCAGGAAAGAATGGAGCTGTGGTCTTTTGTGTTGATATGAATTGAGTAACAACCATAATCAAAGTTGGCCAATGACATGATTGGCTTGACCCTGAAAACGATTGCTTTGATGACTTCTTGCTATGCACACCGGGCAGTCACTGAAATGGTCGGTTCGGTAACTGAAGCGATGCCATCGGTCGTGAAGGTTCTTGTCATCCTGCCCCGGCGTACAGCAAGTGGGGACCATTTGTCGTTTTGAATCCAGGGGGTCTAGAATTGAACGCGACTCTCTTGCTTAAATTATATTTTGGGAGAATGAGCTGGGTGGCTGCTTGACCTTTGCCTGTAGTATGCATTGGATAAGCTCTGGGAATTGAGGCATACCTCGGACTTGCTAATTGGTTTCTGGTCCTCGGGAGTAAAGTCATATAAAAAATATAATTAAAAAAACACTGCAACTGAAGAAGAAATGATCCCTAGATTTTATGCGGAAAAGCAGCAATAATAAGCGCTTTTTTCGTTATTTTCACAATAATATGTTTTCTTTTGTACTTGCTTCATCCGAATTTACAATCTAAAGCAATCTCGGCAAACAAATGAAGAGCACATTACATAGGGGCAGAGCGAGCGCGTGGGCGCACTTATCGCGCCGAGGTGACTGGTGGCTCGAAGGGTTAATACACACGAAGTCAGCAGCGCACCGAGCATTTTATGCTTTTAGTCCAATCACCAATGACTGAACAAAAAAACACATCAAATCTATTTGATATTGCACTGGATTATCTCAGCTCTACGAATGGTTCACACACGCAAACTATACCAGCAGACGCTGTTTAAGTGAATCGGCATGGCTACGGATATTTGTCAGCAGTGCAACATTCAAGCCATGTTACTGTAAAAATTGGACCACATTTCTACGGGAGAAAAAAAATCGGATAAAAAAACACATTTATTCTCATGTGAGATTCACATTACTGATGGTTCAAGGTATAAAATGAAATTTAAATTCGATTTCCACCACATGGCAAGCCCCTTAAGAAATGTTATCTGTGCATATGACGTGTCTAACGTACCAACAGGGGGATGATTGCCGTGTTGATGAGGCCATGCACACGATCGAGATGGCGCTGGGTGGCTCACGTCGGCAAAGCGTCAACCTCCTCCAGCAGTTAATTCTATATACTCCTCCAGCAGGCGCTGGGGGCCGTGCTCACCTCTACTAGTGGCCCTGCGCCAGTCGTAAACATTCCACATTCATATGGCGGGAGCTAATCTCTTCATCGGATAGCTAAATATCGGTCAGCGATGAAACTAAAGGTGAGCTATGTCATTATCCCATTGAATGTAGCCAGGCAACTCGTGAAAACTATTTTAAATCTTTAGGTGTCCGAGACGTTCACTGTCCCGTCTAAAGACCCCATGCACTCACGGCTTGCCACCTCCCCACTCTCGTCTTCCACTCCAACAACTAAGGATTACTTTCTGTTTTTTATTGCTTGTGGTTTTTAAACTGAGAGCATATTTTTCTCTTTGTAATCATGTTATTTGTTCATAATATATTCATTTTGCAAACATCTTTTGGGAGGCAGCGCGTGGAAATTAGTGTTGTGAACTTGTGAATTAAAGCTAATTATAATTATTAATGAGGAAGCTGTCCTAACGCTAAGTGAATCATCGGGAGGGCACTGCCCCCATAAACACCAGCCCCCCCCCCCCCACCAGTGAAAAGTGTTCACGTGGTGTATCTCCACTGGCCAAGGAGCAATACGAAAGCTACAGGTCATATGGTCGGGTAGCTTTAATATATATACAAAATTATCACCACAGTTTCTGAGCACAACGTTCTGTAGGAATGCATAAATCGCAAATGGAAACCTACAAAAATGTGAGGATATACAAAAAATCACGAGCCAAGAGTGTAATGCCACGAGACGCAGGGCGCACCTTAGCGCCGTGCGCTGCCCCGTGCCCTGGGGCCGGATCCAGGCCCATCGCCCCCGGCGCCGGGCTGGCCGGGCCCGACGAAGGCTCGCCCCGAGGAACCCTTCTCCTCCTCCTCCTCGCCGCCACCGCCCCAGCCGCGTGGCTCTGCAGGGACAGGAGGGCAGAGCACGCACGGCGAGAGTCCTCACACGTAACGACGGGAGAACCGAGCCATACATCGGCACAGATGTAACTGAGAAATACAATAAGGTGCCCAATTGACTTCCCAATTACTCTCGAGTGTGCACAAGCCTCACACAGCCGAGCTCATTCCACCCTGGTTGAGCCAATGCCAAACAATCACTATCCACTGCTTAACATCTGTTATGATGATGATGTTATGATGATGATACAAACACAGCACAGGCAACTATCGTGGGATCTGCAGTGCATTTGCAGAGACTCCAGGTGGGTTGAGACCCTACAATGAAAAGGATAAAACCTCCTGACCTAAAGTTTAATTCCCTTTATACTGCTCTACACGCTGCGTCAAACTGCAACAAATGCACAATGATGTACACGTTGGTTTAGACTGGCTGTGATGAATATCTGGTGAGCTCCAACTCACATTGCAGCCACACCTCTGCGTGACATAATCACATGCTGTGTGGGCACGGTCTCAGATAAACAATTTGACATTTAACAACACTGCTGTACTTACAATTCGCCCCATATCATCTCAGTTCTCAAGCTCCTATAACCTTCCTCGATGCAGCAAATGTATGAACTCTCATGGCAAGTCGTATAGCGCTGTTTTTACTGGACATTTTACGTATCGGGCCTTTGGGCCTTTGCTCAGCAACTGTATTACAAAAAAATGCATCATAATCTCAGAATGTGTAGATTAATTACAACTCCCCAGAAGCAAAATTGTAGAGTAAATGGCTGATTCCCATATTCCACTCTCATCACGAGCTACCCCATCGCAACATGCGTCACATGTGAACATCACAATATGTGCATACAAAGACAAAGATCCCCCCTATAGCCTTAACAGACTGTTGGGGAAAGTGCTTCTAGCGAGCACTTGTGAAGGCTGACACGACACACGAGGGGTGGGTGGCCAGCACCACGCCTGAACGCCTTTATCTCCACAGTGGCGATGTTTACACACCGCACCTGGTACTCATTTGAGGCTGAGTCGACCTGGAGGATGTCCAGGACAGGTTCAGATAATCGTCACTGGTGTTGGCCGTAAACTAACCCCCACACGACCGCACATATAAGAGCTATGCACACACATATAACTATCAACTGCAAATCCGTACTGGGTTTTCCCCGACTAAATCACTGTGAAGTACTGGTAGTTGCATATCCACTCAGAAACACTCAGAAGATGTCATTTATTTTGCTCTAAAAGCCATAAAAAATCCAGAAGCACGTGTTCTTTTCAAGGCCGAGGTTTTCAAAACGCGACGCTATTTTCTCTTCAAAGAATTACTATGGTTACATGACTCAGTGGACCTCGTATATCAACTCCCATGCGTAATTCGTGAAGGGCCTCTGACGTTTTAAAAACAATGGCGGTATGCAGGCAGCAAGGACGGTGCAACTGCAAGGCATTGCCCTTCAGCTAGAAATGTTTGGAAAAACTTAAACCATAGCACCTCATTTCACTCACCTCCCTTTGTCGGCTCTTAAATTGAAAGTGTAATTTTTTACTGACATTTGGACATTTTCTAAGTGCAGTGCATTGAGGCACCATTGATCTACATGGAGCAAGTCAAAGTGCCTCTCCAGTTCAAATCAGCAATTGGGTTGCACCTACCGCTGTCGGCGGCCGTGAGTGGTGGAAAATAAAATGTCCAAAGATTGGGGCCAGTCTCGCCATTGCATGGCAACTGCCAACGTCCCTCAAAGTGGTGCCATCTGTGACCCAAGAGGATGACGAGTCGAGTCTCCTTGGCCGTGGGACTGAGTGCAGAACGACTTGTGCAATTATAGGAATTGCGTAACCTCAGACTTGTCCTAACGCCGATTCCTTGTGGGATATACGCAACAAACATTGCGGTACCTCTGACAGAACCGAGGGGTGGTCGGGACCAACTTCGCCCGCCACTGTGCACGTCGGTACCACAGGCGCCCTCGCCAGCACGGAGACGGCGACGACCACAACGTTCGGCGACGTCACCACAGCGCTTGTACCAGGATAGGCACACTGGCAGGCCACGTGAAGTTTCGAAACATTACTAACAGGAGTCAGGTAAGCAGTCATTAAAAGTCAAGTGCAGATGGTGGTGGTAGACAGAGCAGGTCTTGAAGACCGCTGCATATTGGCTGTGCAGCAGTTATGGACACACTTTATGTATGTTGCACTTATTTCGCACTGAACACAGCCAACCGTGCTAATCGGAGGTGCGAGGGAAAGACAAACTAAACACTAAAGGCAGTTCTAAAGAAATAAATTTTCAATTTAAATGATTTAAAAGTGCATGGCTCCAGTGGCTTCCTAATATCGGAAGAGCGTTCCAGACGGCCGCAGAAGCGCATTTGAAAGCGTGCGATGCGGTGCCAGTCTTTGTTCGATCCGGTGGCGGGGAGAGGGCGTCGATGGCTTTGGCCATGATGAGATCTAAATATTGGAGCAGAATTCATGAGACCATGCTCTATTTGTGCGCGGGTGTCGCTGTGTTTCTGCAGCTCCCCGGCACCGTGAGACTCGCGTTGCTGCTGCAGCTGCTGCAGCTGCAGCAGCAACGCGAGTCTGCTGCAGCTGCAGCAGCAGCAGCGAGGCCACCCTTCCACAGGCAGCCCCGCAGGGCCTCGCTCTGCACAATGTCGCCTCATTGATCTGATGCCCGCTGACATTATTCCCTCGAGACTTTACAAAAGAACCCGAAGCTTTTAATGCTGCGAATAGAAAAAAAAGATACGTGACGAATGTGTGCCGTATATAAATGGGTGTCCATTCTGGACAATAAGAAACACAAATGGGGTTAAAACAACACATTTGTTTTGTTAGATTGTAAAGGTTCATAGCATCATTATTTTGGAGTTTGAATCAACTCTAAGTCTAGGGTGTAGTGTTTCAATTTCTGTAGTTTTAGTTTCTGATTAGATTCCAAAGCGCGCCTTCGGGCAGCTCATTGTAAAGGGCGTTTCATAAGCTGGCCTTTTTTATTACCACTATGAATAATACCATATTTCACTGAAATATTTAATATAAACAAAACTTCCAAGCGCCATGTGAATTTTTTACCCAATCCACAGTTTCGAGCATGTCATTTAGAAGATACATCCAAGTGATGTTATTCCATTTTCCAAATTCACAGAAAGTAAACAGAAACTAACGTGTTCTTCAAAATAATCGGCTCAAGTACTGAACGTCTTGAAATTAAACTTGACAGTGGATATACTCTTAAATATGCACAACTAAATGGTTTTGACCATTTGCAGCTAAAACGGGCACAAATCAGTGACAGAATAGCTCAGCACACCATACCCTCCTTCACACACGTGTCCCTCCACACGAACTTTCTGTCATTCTTCAGCTGTCACCTGAAGTGATTAAAGGCCTATCATTTGTCACTATTAAGGAGCCCAAAATACATTTACCATGTGGATGCATTTACTCATTAATGATGAAATATAAGAAACGAAACTAATTTATGGAATATTTTGGTTCATTCACTAATGCTCATAAATATTGTATGAGAAAAGGTCTCAATTTAAATTCTACTCCTGAGACGATCCTAAACGTACCCATGGAGAGGCAACAATGTGACATGTATCACGTGACATGTATCGTGTGACATGTATCGTGCATGCTACGGCTCCTCAAATAGGTCACGCACAGTCGCAGACATGTTCACAGAGCAACGATCATTATAAATTAAATCATTGCGAAAATAAACAAACTTAATATAAATATTCACATCAAAAACCTTTAACCCACAGACTTCTGAAGAAATGACTCGCAAGGTTTAATATGCAATCTTCTTATGCACGGCTGCTGATATAGATTCAAGGCAACAGCTACAATTTCACATTCCGGTGGTGAACATGAGGTGGAAGATGGCAGCCTTCAAGCGGCCCACTCTGCTAAGTGAGAAATAACGACGGACGCCATCAACGCCGCGACCGAACATCGATCGTCGATCTCCCGGTCTCTAGAGCAACACCACAATCTACATTAACCAAGCATGATGGGCAGATCTTATACACAGCAGCGGGAGGCATTGCGAAAACGCACTGATGGTGTCTTCACTCACGTTATTTCTCCACTCACGTGAGTGCGCCACGCTTCAGCCGACAAGCCCCTCCCGCACGGAGGGCGGCCGAGGCCGGCAGGGAGGAAGACTTCGCGCTGTGCGTTCGCTGCCCACTCGGACCCCGTCAATGAGCACGCACAACATTCCGATGTAAGAAACGCGATGCAGCGGACGGCTGCCTCAAGTTTCAGCCGTGCGACATGAAACACCGAGGCTGGACTCGCACGGTCCTGCCCAGCTGCACGCTTCTACATGGCCCAGCCACAACACCAAACCTGGGACAGGGTCATTTGTAACGCAGCGGGCCCCTGGCTAAAGTAATCGCAGCGACTCTGGGGGTGGTAAAATTGTGTTCACGACTGGGACGTGGCCGACAAGAAGGTGGCACGCACGGTGAGGGGGGGGGGGTCACGCGGTGGCCTCGTGACCTCAGCGGTGATGGGGGGCTGACTCCCCCTGGCCTGAGTGAGGTTCAGGCAGAATTCCTGCTCACCGGAGTCACTGGACAGACAGCCACACTCACATTGAACGCTGCACCACTACCCGTAGTTGTTATGATTATTGATGGTGATAATGCTTTCAATTCGTGTGTTTATGTAATGGCTATCGCCGGATTCATTTCCCTAGGGGCTGGGAAGTGCCCTGGTGTGTTTATGTCGCAATGTGTCGCTTTTACACAGAACGACCGTCTATTGCTATGATCGCGTTGCATCATCAACAGATTGTTTACATATGCACGGCGCTGGTGTATACTGGATGCCTCGACCACGAAGAAGGCGGATTGAGATGAAGGCGAGCCGTGTGTCCATTGCGATGTCCGCAGCAATCTGGGACGGAGTCTATTTTAATTTACGGCCAGGGCTGGAGATGGGACGTGGGAGCCGAGGTTCACGG